AGGGAGAGGGTAGCTGCTGTTGACCAGCATGTCATCGACATATATTTCCATGTTCCGGCCTATCTGATGATGGAAGACGGCATTGACCAACTGTTGGTAAATGGCCCCGACATTTTTCAACCCAAATGGCATCACACGATAATGGTAGGTACCTCGGTCAGTGATGAAGGAGGTGTGCTCCTGGTCAGATTGGTGCATCAAGATTTGGTTGTATCCAGAGAATGCATCCATGAAACTGAGCATTTGATGACCGGTCGTGGCGTCGACTAGCAGATCTATGCGAGGGAGAGGGTAGCTGTCCTTGGGGCAAGCTCGGTTGAGGTTGGAGTAGTCGACACAGAGTTGCCATTTACCATTGTTTTTACGAACCAGAACCACATTCGACAGCCATCTGGGGTAGTCCACATTAGTGATAAACTGTGCCTCAAAGAGTTTGTCTACTTCAGAAGCGATAAGGTTATTGCGTTCCGGGTGAAAAATGCGTTGCTTCTGGCGGATAGGCCGGAAATGGGGCTCAGCATTGAGACAGTAGCTGGTGAAGGAGGGATCAATACCCGGCATATTGGAGTGAGTCCAGGCAAACACGTCGTTGTGTTCAACTAGGAGGGCAGTGAGGTCGGCCTTGGCTTTGGGGGATAGTTGGCTGCCGATCTTGGCGGTTTTGGCCGGGTTGGCAGGGTTGATGAGGACTTTGACGAGCTCCTCCACTGGTTCCCCTCTGACCAGCTCGTCTTCATCTCTGACATCGAGTCCTTCAATGATCATAGTCTCCTTCAGCTTGACTTCTTTAAGTGAGTCGACATAACATTCTCTGGCCATGGTCTGCTCTCCCCTCACTGTGTCGACCCCAAGATCGGTGGGGAACTTGATGGCAAGGTGGAAAGTGGATGTGATGGCTTGGAAAGCATTTAGGGCAGTGCGGCCAATGATGATGTTGTAAGCAGAGGGACAGTCAATAACAAGGAAGGTGAGCAACTTTGTGGTCTGTTGCGGGTACTCGCCAATTATGATAGGAAGATCGATGGAGCCGATGGAGGTCACCTGGTCGCCAGTGAAACTGACTAAAGGGCTTTGGAGGGGAAACAAACTTCCTTCCCCAATCTTGAGTTGGCAGAAGCAATTGAGGAAGATGATGTCTGAAGAACTGCATTGTCGACGAGAACCCGTCTGACCTTGTAATTGGAGAGGAGGGCGGAAATGATGAGAGGGTCGTCATGAGGATAACGGATGCTTGTGCAGTTGGCGTCCGTAAAGGTGATGGGCTCAGTCCACTACCTAGGGTGTTTGGAGGGTCGGTTCAACGTGGCAACTTCTTTGTCTGAGCCCTGCCTTATTTTCCTGAGTTCTGCTCGCTGAGCCGACCGGGATGGTCCTTCACAAGAAAGCCCGCCGGAGATAACTCTGATTTCTCCAACAGGTGGAGCGGGGTTACCTTGTGCCTGAGGTTGTTGTGGAGGGCGATCTTGCCCTTGGTTAGGCTGTGTTGGCTGTCGGGGAGGAGTGCGCCGGCGGTTGTTTCTGATGGGTTCAGTCCGCTGCCTTTGCTGAGGGCGAGTATCCGTGAATCGGCTGAGGCGTCCTTGATGAATCAAGCCCTCGACCTGATCTTTGAGGTTAACACACTCCTCAGTATTATGGCCGTGATCCTGGTGAAAATGGCAATATTTGGACTGGTCTTTTCGATTTGAAGGAGTCCGTGATGGTTGGGGTCATTTTAGGAGGTAGTCCCGCTAGATCTGATGGAGGACTTGTTCCATGTGGGAGTTTAGGGGGGTGTACCGCTCGAACCGGCCGGGCGGTCGGGCTGGGGCCGACTGGTCGGTTCTGGGAGGTCGGTCAGTGTACTGAGATGTTTAGTTATTGTACTGGGTATTTCTGGTTTCTGAATCTTTTCTCTTTTCCTTGGGGGTCAGGTTTTTGGTTATAGGATCTTGCCGGGTGGCTAGGGAATCTTCAGCATTCATGTATTTTTGGGCTTTGGAGAATAGGGCTGCCATGGAGGTCGAGGGGTTTTTAGAGAGAGAGAAAAGAAAGTCAGACGATCGCAGACCGGCCATGAAAGCCGTAAGTATGACCTTGTCATCGTTTTCCGCTACTTGCAAGGCTTCGGTGTTGAAGCGGGTAACAAAACTGCATAGCGACTCCCCCTCGGTCTGACGAATATTGAGGAGTTGGGTTGCCGGACGCTACTGGTGCTGGGCTCCAATTAAATGGCTGAGGAAAGAGTCACTGAGGTGTTGGAAAGTGGAGACAGAGTTTGCTGGCAGTTGACTAAACCAAAGTCGAGCTGACCCCTTGAGTGTCACGAGGAAAGCCCCGCACATGATTTCGTCAGGGAAAGCATGGAGGATCATGAGGGTCTTGTAGGTCTCCAAGGGTTCGATTGGGTTTGTCATACTGCCAAAAGAGTCGATGGTGGGCATTTTGAACTTGGGGGGTAGAGGTTTATCCCGGATGGAGGCGACGAATGGCGAGTTGGCTGTGGTAGAGGGTTTATGTTGGATGTTCTACATGACCCCTTGGAGTTGGAGCTTCATGGCTCGGCGTTCTGCATGCCAGAGAGGAATGTTGTCACCACCGGAGGGCAGCGGGGCCATGAAAGCCGTAAGTATGACCTTGTCATCGTTTTCCGCTACTTGCAAGGCTTCGGTGTTGAAGCGGGTAACAAAACTGCATAGCGACTCCCCCTCGGTCTAACGAATATTGAGGAGTTGGGTTGCCGGACGCTGCTGGTGCTGGGCTCCAATTAAATGGCTGAGGAAAGAGTCACTGAGGTGTTGGAAAGTGAAGACAGAGTTTGCTGGCAGTTGACTAAACCAAAGTCGAGCTGACCCCTTGAGTGTCACGGGGAAAGCCTCGCACATGATTTCGTCAGGGAAAGCATGGAGGATCATGAGGGTCTTGTAGGTCTCCAAGTGTTCAATTGGGTCCGTCATACTGCCAAAAGAGTCGATGGTGGGCATTTTGAACTTGGGGGGTAGAGGTTTATCCCGGATGGAGGCGACGAATGGCGAGTTGGCTGTGGTAGAGGGTTTATGTTGGATGTTCTACATGACCCCTTGGAGTTGGAGCTTCATGGCTCGGCGTTCTGCATGCCAGAGAGGAATGTTGTCACCACCGGAGGGCAGCGGGGGCTGGACGCTACTGGCCTCTCCTTCAGGGGTTGGTGCTGGGACTGATGGATGTGGGGGTCAGGGTGGTGGATTTATATTTGGGGGAGGAGGTTGTAAGCCTTCCAAGTTGGGTGGATTAGGCTGCAGGATAGTATGGCTAGGGTCTCGTTCTTGGTTGGAGGAAATATCTAGGCATAGGAAGGTTTCTTTGGAGTAGAGCATTTATCAGGGCTTGGTTTTGCTCGGCCATGCGGTTAATGTATTGGTAAGCTCGATGAAATACTGTGGTAGGTTGTTTGGATTGGGGGGGTCGGCAGCGTTATGGTGAGAAGCCATGGATCTAGTCGTGACCATACACTTCGATGGGTAGCGAGAAAAGGTTGTTGGGACAGGGTTTCCGGCGACAATGAGCACAACTGGCGCGCGGAGTAAAGCATTCCCACAGACAGCGCCAACTGATGATATAGTTCCTTCCAGGTGGAACGGGTTGGACTGATCCACGCTCCTCAAGCCTATGTCCGAATGACCAAGCCCACGGGGGAACCTGCACAAAAGTCCAATGGGGAACGAGGAGTCCCTCAGTGAACCCTCCGACAAGCAAGTTAGGAAGAAAAGTGGATTGTAGAGATAGACTGGAGATAGAAAAGCTTAACCTTCTTCTTGTTTTCAACGTCTGCTTATATCCTCTGGTAATCATTTCGTTATCCTTTCCGACCTGTTACCTTGGCCGAAAATCTATGTTGTAGCTTACCTTGTTCAGGGTGAGGGCGTGCTATCCTGATGGAGAAGGGTTATCGCAATAAATGCTGTAAGGGGCCTCATTAATGGCGATTGCCGTGGCAATAACTTTGCAGATCTTTGTCTGTTGATGTGGCTTGCCCTTCTCTCGCTACGTGTCTTGATATCATTGGTTCTTATTGCTATGTGGGGCTTTAGCAGTTCTGGACTTTAGTATTTGAGATATGTATTGGGCCCTAATCGGTAGACTATAATCTTTATGGGTTTACCCATGTCAGGCTATATTTTTGTGACTTGACGCCAATGTCTAATTGATATGGGAGTTACAAATTCATCAAAACAACAATGATTTATCCCTTTAATTTGATAGTATTAACTGAACACTAATGATGTGAAAATTCAAAAAAAAAATAAAAATCTAAAGTCAAAACATCACATCAATAAGTGAATCCATTCCCTAGAGCTCCTTTAGAACTCATAGTTTAAAGCTCCCAAACATTTGTCTTCATCAAAATTGGATCTTTAATACACATTTCAATAAAATATGACTTTAATTATTATTTTATTTTATTTAAATTTATATTTTCAAAATGCAAATTTAATTTAAAGCTGCAACTTCAAAGTGGCCAATTAGACACTTTGACTTTGTAAAGTAGGTTAAAAGTTAATTTTTTAATTTTTTTTAAAAAAAATTTTGTTGAAAAAATATAAAAAAAATAGAGAGGTGACACAACCCAACAAAATTAAAAAATCAAAAAATTGACTTTAAACTGAGTTTCCATTGTATTTTATTTTGTTTTCATGCAAATTTTGTTTTTGGCAAACTAAATCGACAAATTATTTTTGAAAAATTATTTAAAATTGTACAAATAACCTAATTTTATTTTTGAAAACACAAAAACAAAACAATCATAATCAACGGGGGGGTTGTGGGTTCGACATGACTCGTTTGAGAATATATTAATTTTAGTAATTTTTTGTTTTTTTATAAAAAAAAATTACAAAATAATAATATAAAAATTTATAATAACTTTTTTTTTTAAATATATATATATATATATATATTTTTTTTCTTATTTTTGGAGGACGTTTCCTCATATATATTTTTTACTATAATTGATAAATTAAGCGATTTCATGAAGGGAAATTAATCGAAGGCCCAACTTGTCAGACCGAGGGTTTAAGCATTTCTTCTTTCACCATTTCTCAGCTCTCTGTGTGTTTCATGGTGAGGGTTTTAAAACCTCACCACACTAGTCTCTCTCTCTCTCTCTCTCTCTCTACAATGGCACAGACCACTCTTCTGTCTCTCCTCCTCCGACGCCTCTCCTCTCAAAACCCTAACCTCTTCAAAACCACTCGACCTCTCTTTCTCTCTCATCTTCTCCTCACACCCAAACCCTTCTCTTCTCTCTCCTCTCCCCCAAACCCCTCTGACCCCGAACCCACCTCTCTCTCAGCCCGCATGAGCTTCGTCTTCGACCAAATCGACGCCATCGAGAGAGAACGCTCTCAGAAAGACGACACTCTTCAGCGAATTCGCGCTTGGCGCGAGTCCAAGAAGAACAAAATCCACGAACATAGCAACCACAATCTAGGATTTGGTGTCACTGAATTGAGGCCTTTTGAGCCTAGCTCCGCGGAGACGGAGGTGAAGGAGGAGGAGAGAGGTGGCTTGTTGAGTAGGGAGGTGGAGTTGGTGCATCCATGGCCTGAGTGGATTGAATTGATGGAGAGGTTGGTGCAGCAGAACTATTTTGATCATAGGAGGAAGGATGAGGAGAAGATGGTGGAGGATTTGGGGTTTCAAATGTCGGATGTTGCGGAGGAAGGGATCGATTTCACGAGGGATTGGAAGACTGTTCAGACCGCTTGTCTCAATTTCGGGCGTGATCGGTTCGATATCTTGAGGTCTGTGGTTGCTTTCTTGATATGTATATAGCAATGTCTGATCTTAGTTTTATGATTAGTATGTGAATTTTAATTATGGACTTAGGGAATGTAATTTGAACTAACTATGAAAGGGAATTATAATTCCATTTTTTTCCCTCTGAAAAATGCCCTATTGGCAAAAGCAAGAAGGGACTTTTTGAGGATCAGTAAATAGAAAATAGAGTGAATTTGAATATTAGAACTTTTAGTGTTTCACTAATATTGCTGGTATTTTCTTAGTTTATTCTCCAAGTTTGTCTTAATTTTGGGTACAAAACAATGGTGTTGCTTCATTGTACTTCCTTGTCTATGGACTGAATTCAAATATTGTGGGTAGATATATTGTTCTTTAAAACAGTTCAAGTTTCATTGGAATTGTTGATAATTCTAATTTTTCAAACAAAAAAACTGAAAGAGTGAGCAACCTGTCTCTAAAGCTTTAGAAAAGTCACTATTTGTTAGAATTTCCCATCTTTACCTTCACCTACTCCACTACACACTCCACTTCACCTACCTCCACTTCACCACACACTCCACTTCACCTAACCCACTATCACCTCCACTACACCTATTACCACATTTTCTTCTATATATAGATTGTATAGGAATTGTAATCAATCAATCTAGTAACAACATCAATCAATAATACATAAATTCTTACACTATTCTTGGTTGCCGAGAGAATTGATAGTAGGAAATTACTGAATTTTGAGTCTTTAAGTTGTTCACGACTTTGAACCCAAGAATGGTAAGACTACCTAACCATACTTTGTAGAACTATTTATTTTGCTAAGTTAACCTTACTAAATGGAAGGTAAGGTTAACCATACTGCATCCAACAAAGCAGAGTTACTACCCTCGAGCATTCTTTTGAGTTTTTTGGATGCAGTTCTTAGGATTCAGAGGGTATTTTCACTGACTTTAACAATTATGATTTACCGCAAACTTTCAATTTAAGTCACGTCAGTTGAGATGTGCTTAGAATGGCAATTTATTTCAGGTCATTGTCGAGACAAGATATTCAAATTTTGGTTGGCTATGGGTGCCCTAGTGCGGATAAGAAGGTGGTTTTTTCTGCGAAGTTACTGAGGAAACATGTCCACCTTGATGAGGGAGATGTAAGCTTTACTTTGTTGGCTTGTTAGTAAGTCATCATTTACCATATGGTTAATGCTTAACATATGAATGATGATAATCCTTCTTTGTTATTCTTTCATGTGTCACACAATATTTGGCAATTTGCTTTTCTTTGGGCTTAGGATTTCCATTGTAACATAGGCTGTTCTGGAAAACAAGTGAAAATGTTTCTAAACCATGGATGTTTTCATAGTAAGTTGAACCTCCCTTTTTAGATACACCAATTTTTGTAACTTGGTTTTGCACTAGAGCAGGGGTTTGCTCTCTCTCTCTCTCTCTCTCAATTGCCAAATTGTTGAAAAGAAATTTCATTTATCACAAAAAAAGATAAAACAGATTTTTGTTTTGTACTAGGTCAAATCTGCTACCTTAGAATAGTAAGATTTTGACTTACCATTTTAGCTTCATTGATAGAGATGTGTGAAATGATGTCTTTATGACAAGTGTATCGCACTCCATTTTCTCTTATTATAGTTCTCTGATTTCTTTCTATTTTACAATCTATTGGCTTTGCCACTATGCAAACACAAGCTTCCAATGGAAGTGTACCATTTCTTTTTGATTGTGTCTGTGCTTCATTATGAAGATTATGGATGTAGTTGCTAAAAGTTATGGTGCTAGATTTGAGAAAAGAAATATTTGTAGATGAAACATCATTTTTAAATTTCCAGCAATAAAGTCTTTTATTAATGTTGTGAAGAACATAGCAATGGCTTTATGGTTGATCCCCGTTGTTCTCCCTAAATCTCTCATGGGTGATCAATTGGATCTTGGTTTACTTATTTTTGGAGGACGTTTCCTCCTTTTAGGTTCCTAACAGGTCTTATAGCATTCATTTAATGAGAAATAAAACTGCTGCCACCCTTATTATTAACTCTGAAACTAACATGTGTGATGGAGTTTGACTTGGACACGGATGTTCAACTTTCTGATAGTGAACTGCATTCTGTCAGTATATGCAGTTGCTTCTGATGGGACAATTAACAATAGAACTGAGTTTTCATGTTACATTTGTCACAATCTCCTCAGCAACATCTTGACACTTACATCAAACAAATGAAAATTAAAATTATTAACTCTACTGAATATGATTATTTGTAGGTTTGTAGTTCCTGCAGTTTGAGGAACTCCTGCGAAAGAGCATATCTTGTAACCAATAAAGAAGACGAGGCACGGACTATTGACGTTATGCGTGTCCTATTGACATATGGCTTTGATCCTGTAAAAGGATCGGTTGTCAATGAGCCCCTTCTGAAAATAAAATCAGTGAAGACTGTCATCCGCAAACTACTGCATGAGGTTGTCAAGTTGAGTGCAGTTCCAATAGATCCAAATCTTCCTCCTCCTGTAATAATAAAGCCTCCACCAAAAGTGAAGCAGCCTCCTCCTCCTCCAAAGAAACGAGTTGGACGTGATGACATTGAGATGAAAAAAGGGGATTGGCTGTGTCCTAAGTAGGTATCTCTTTAAGAGTTATGTAATTTTGTTATATGCAACATGTTTTCTTTTGAATTTGATTCCCAAGGCATTGGCATTGTCAATAATGTTTATTTTATATAAGCATCCAAAATGAAGGTATATATCGTAAGAACATTATGTCTGTGGCAAACAAAATTGTGGCATGTATATGCTATGCTGCCTTTGGTGTGTAAATAGAATGTTCCTGGTCATCTCAGATGTAGCCTTACATTGGGCGACCAACCTTAAACAATAAATAACAGCATTATATTCCAATTTAATAATTTGCCCTGGCTTCTCTGGCTGCCAGGAGACAGATGGCATCATAGGATTAAACAATTAGTGCGGTTGATCTTTTGTCACAATTGGCATAGTTGGCTGCACTGATGGCCACCATGACCATGTATTGGTTTTGAAGGGTCATCAGTAAGAGTTATTTCAAAACGATTTGAAATCATTGGTTGTGTTTTGGCATTCAATGGGAGTTAAGATTTCCTGTGTAATATATATATATATATATATATTTATTTATTTATTTGTTTTTTTTTGGTAAGTAAATTCTTGTGTAATTTGATAAGCAATAAATAATGGTTTCAGGTGTGACTTCATGAATTTTGCAAAGAATACAGTGTGCCTGCAGTGTGATGCCAGGCGTCCCAAGAGACAACTGCTTCCAGGAGAATGGGAATGCCCTCAGTATGTTTCCACTAGCTACTGTTATTTATGCTCTTTTGTTGATGCTATTACTAATGTGGTGATGGTTATGGGTGGTATGTGTGTGTGCGCCTGTATACACATAGCTGATCGTGTTAAGAGTAGGTCAAGAGGTTCATCAAAGGGCTTAAAAGGATTTTTTGGCATCATATTTGGGGTCTTCTTGGTTATGAAATGGGAAGGTGCAATCTGATGATTGCAACAAAACTATATCATCCTTATTATTCAACAGTTCACTTTTGTACTTTTTTCCTCTTCCATTTTTCATTTTCTTTTTATTGTTTTTCTTTTTTGGATTAATTACACTTTACCCCCTTCAACTATAACAAAATATCATACAAAGACCCTTCAACTATTCAAAATCGTACAAAGACCCCCTTCTAGAGGGGGTGAAAGTAGTTAACCCTTTTTTTTTGGGATGGTTGTACATGCTGAAGCTATCAAAATTTGTTTCACCATTTGTTGAGCAAGACCAAGAAATGGTTGGTCTTGCCCCAAACATGGCCTACCATTTGCAAATTTGTACCCAATGCTGTTGTTTACAATAGATGAAGAATTTTACATGTTTATCCTTGGTGCTATTCTTTGGCAGGTGCAATTTCTTGAATTATAGGAGGAATATGGTATGTTTTCACTGTGAACACAATCGTCCCCTGGATGAATTTACAGAGAATCAAATGCAAGACAGGCAACGTGGTCCTAAGACGAGGTTGGAGAAGGTTCCCAACAGGGCAGATGTTTCTAATGCATGGAATTTCGATTTTGATGACGATGAATCTGATGGGGCAGACGTTGCTGCTTTTGAGCATGCAGATTCTCAGAAGCTGAATGAAGATTTTCCTCCACATAGTCGTGCTCATGGAGAAAACTTTAGGGGGGCTGACGATGATTCCTTTATGGCCAGAAGAACTCCAAAGACACATGAAAGAGAATACTCCAATCCTGCACATCAGAAACCTGGGACAGGATTTGATGATTTTGAAGATGAAGATGATGATGTCGACAGTTATGAGCTGGACGCGCAGAACAACAATCAAGTTCCAAGGAGATCTTCAATTGATTTCTCCGAGGTCGAAGGTGACTCTGAATCTGAAGATGTTGATGGCTTTGATATGGATCATAGGTTGCACAATAAGTCGTCCAGGACAATGCGTCGAAAAGCAGCTTTCTCTGGCTCTGAGGCTGATGAACAAGATTTTGATTCAGATAATGAGCTCCCAGTTCATCCCAACTGGAAATCAAGTCATGTTGCTGATTCCAGACAAAGGAGTAAGGGCACGACAAGTTTCGTTGCAGATCAAGATTATGGGTTCAGTTCCGACACTGATGACTTTGTAGATGAAGATTTTAGATCCAAGAAAAACAAGGGAAATAAACAGGTTTCTAGTAGCCACGATTCTAGGAAGAGACAAATTCCTGTCAGTAGTGATGAGTCCTTTTCTGGTCTGGATTCTGACGAGGAAGATCTACCTTCCCCTAGAGATAAAAGAGGAAGCATTTCAAAGGGTCGTGGCAATATTAAGTTTTCTGGGGACTCACGATTTGGATCTAATGGTATGTCAGGTGGCAGAAGGAAGCCGCCGGATGATGATTTTGATAGATCATCACAAGGGTCACGTGGCAATAGTCGAGGATTTCAAAGGGTTGATGACTATGGTGGACGTAGAATGAATAACAGCAAGGGTAGTGATTTTAATAGATCATCAAAAAAGCCTCATGGTAGTAATAGAGGATTTCAAAAGGATGAGCATGGTGGCCGTAGAACAAATGATAGAGGTGGTCATTGGCGGCGTGGAGGGTTTAATGGTTCTGATAACCGGTCAGATGTGGACAGGGATTTTGATGATGATAGACCCAGAAGGCAGCGCATAAATGTACGATGAGTATCAGCTGATTCAATTTGGTTTCTGGTGGGCAGAGCTGAGCATCAAGTAGTTGGTTCAACTGAACTTTGATTTTTTTTGTTTTTAGAATTATGTTGTATTATATAAAAATTTTAAGAGGTTTTTATAAATTGATACCATTAAAATTATTCAAAAAAATAGATTTATCATCAACAACAAAAAGTTGTTTAAAAAAATAATTAATTTTGTACTTATTATATTTTTATATCATTTTTTATTTATCATGCATAATTATTAATAGTTGAATATAAATATAAAAGAAACTTATATAGATACTATTATAAACTAGTATAATAATCATTGTGTATGTCATACATTAAATAGTAAATAAAATATGATGTGAAAATATGATGAGTGTAGTTTTATTGACATAATAAATATCATAATATTTTTTTTGAATAATGATATAAAAATAAAAATTTTCATACATAATTTTTGTATAAAATGATGTAATTTAATATAAACTTTCACTTTAAAATAAAACACCATGAAAATGCTTTATAACTTCATTATGTTATTTTTATTAAAAAAAATTAATTCCAAAAATTTTCAAAATTTTGAAAATGGAAAAAATGTTTTCATTCTCTCCCTCCGGACCACCACCACAAGCCTTCCAACTTTTTTCCAACAGACACTGATGACCTCCAACAACCCCTTCAACCACCACAAGATCCCTGACGACACTACAACTCCGATCACTCCCAGCCACCTGCCACCATCTCCAACAACTGGCCAAACATGTTTCCTTGTTTTATTTACACAGTTCAAAACATGTGTACACCAAACAACCTTTTTGTTTGTTTTTTACACAAAAACTTGTTTCCTGTTCATCAGAAGAACCAAGACTTGTGACATGAACACAAACAACCCATACTTGGCCAAAGAAGAAGGAAAAAAAAAAAAAAAAACAGAAAAACACAAGCACGAAACAACCCATCTAAATTGAATAAACAAATATAATTCCCATTACCTAACCAGTGGGTATTCAAGTGAAATTGGCACATGCCAGAAGAAGAGCAATGCTATAAAAGAAAAAGGAAAAAAAAAAAGGAAGTTAAAGTGGAGATCAGTAACTAAAAATTGAAATTATCAACCCACTCCTTTTTTATGGACAGCCCACCATCAGCGAGGCACTACAAACTTCTCCAGCTGAGGCGCTACAAACTTCTCCAGCTGATCCTTTGCCGACTTCCCTTTTAGTAGTAAGAGAGACAAACATGGCAGTTGTACCAGCAACATGAATCGAGTTCATAATGTAACGATAAAAAGGGGGAGAAAATTGAATCCTCTCAATTTACAGATTTTTCTAATCCTTTAAAAAAATCGTCCTAAGATTGGAGAGCTCAGAAAATCAAGGCCCAACAAAGGCGCGGAAGAAAACACCGGGACTAACCCAAGCTAGAAGAGGGAGGGGCATAGCAGAGAACACTCTAGTGTCAAGTAAAATAAATGTATCTTCTCAGCCACCATAAGAAACCTCTTCACGCGATGACAATGAGAACCATTTCAGTTAACAGCCCAGCAAGAAATGGAACACGTCACTTAATGAAACAATGCCCTCCACACGCTTGCTGCCAGCCTCCACAATAACGAGTCTCCTCACGCCTGAAAATATGCCAGATATGCTTTAAGGAGGTGAAGAGTTTTTATCCAAACAGGAGAACAACGAGGAGCTGCTTGGTAAAGAGTATCTTGTAATGAGCTATTGAAACCATATTAAAAACTATTATTTGATAATAATAATAATAATAATAATAATAATAATAATATTTTTGGGGGTATATTATGGGTATATTACACTAATAATTACATTGGACTCCCTTAAGATTTTTAATTCACCTAACACTTTGCTCCCTTCTCATCAGTTATTTCTTAGTTGTACAGAGAAAAATGGTTTTTTCATTTCTTGTACACTAAAATGTATATTTTCCTTTATTTATCCATGTGGCTACACACCATTTGCATTAGTTTTGAGCACTTTAGCCTTACTAAAAGGGAGGTCGGTGTAATATGCCAAGCTTTGGTTCTTGTATTTTTGTATACCTTAAGGGTGGTCAGTGTAATTTACCCTCTTTGTTCGTTTGTTTGTTTGTTTGTGTGTGTGTGTGTGTGAAACTGTTAATTATTATGTTCAATTTAATACCAATAGTGAAAGGCATATGTGTTAAGTTTCAGTAGCTCAAATGGGTAATTTTTTGCTTTTTAAATTTTTTGTTAATGTCATTCATGTTTTCAGTTAAGTCAGAAGTACAAGTAGCTTAAATGTAGATTTTAAAGTTGAGGGGGTGAAAATGATTTCGAACAAAGTATAAGGGGGTCAATAGAAACAGAAAACAATTACCAGGTATTGCAAGCCGCTCAATCACTTTGTGCAGAGGATCGGATCGCAAACACATCTGACATCTTTGTCCACTAAAGAAGCCATAAGGAGAACTTGCATCTTGCCCCAGTTGCAATGCCTGTAAGTTGGAGATAGTAAACAGATCAGTATGCTGACATCTCCTATGTGGCTGTTTGGTGCAGCTTAAAAGCTGCTTATTTCAGCTTTTAGCTTAATTTAAGCTATTTTGATGTGTTTGGTTTAACTTATAGCTTATAGCTTTTTGGAAGTCAGAAATCAGCTTATTCTTTGAGTGGGGCAGGAGATGCTTAATTTATAAGTCAGAAATCAGCTTATGTTCATAGTTATAAGCTATAAGCTCTTTAGGCATAAGCTATAAGCACTTTCCCATAACTCTACCAAACAAGGCTATTAGTTTCACTTTAGTCGATTGTTTATTTAAACTGAAGGTATCATCGTTAATTGAAAACCCTTCAATGGTAAACTTTGTGTTCCGGAACACAAATTTCTCAAACGTCCTCAAGCATAAACCAAACCAGCTTTAAAAGTAATGAAAAAGCTTGCAAATAATGCTGTTTAGGTTAACAAAATTTGAACAATTACCTGATGAATACTCATTTCATCAAGGCTAATCTGTGCATAAGCTCTGTCTTTTGCCAAAGCAGTTATATCGCTGTCAAAAGAATACAACCAGCAAATATGAACTTTAATTAAGAAATATAAACAGTTCAAATGGGTAGAGATGCTCAATGCATAATAAATAATACACGGAAGATTACCTCCGGCAATATATATCCAGCAATGAATCATTATCATCCACGATAGGTATTGAACTAACTTCAGCTGCAATAGACAGTGCAATTGTATAAGAGGAGATGAAGCATCAAACAAAGTCACAAGGAGCAAAAGATTCTGTCCCCGATTCTTCATTCATCTAAGGAGAACACCAATCCACAAGCTCATTCAAGAACAAGCAATGATAGGGTGTCTAACTCACATTAAAATGTATCACTAGCACCCTTTTAAAGACTATAAGATGGATAATGAGCTAGAAACCATCAATCATATACATCCTGTTGGAACAAATGCTATGGTAGATGACAGTAGTTTGCGTCAAGCCAAGAATAGCCTGCTTTCTTAAGATGACATCACCCTGACCAATTATCCATTGTATGCCTATATAGTATAAATTGAAGCCCAATCCATAGGCTGCACTCTGCATAGCAGCGTTGTGCATTGACAAAAACAGCCACAGAATACTGGTTAGAAGAATTACAAGTTACTGAGACTGAAATTCTACTCCTGCAATCTAGCAGAAGAAATGAATGACAGGAGAAAAACAAATTCACAAGAAGTATTCTGTCCTCTATTATAATTGAAACAAGGCCTAAATGCTTGACTCAATTCAGTTGCATGGTCAAGGAAGTGCCCTATAAATATACCAAAAGGTGTCTCTTCAAAACCAGGCATCCCCCAACAACAAAAAAAGAAAACAAACAAACAAAAAAACCATGTGCCTGCTGCCTTCATGATTTCAAAAACTAAGCAACAACTAAGCATCCTAGTTAAGGAGGTTCTTCAATACTTAGTACTTCAAGTATAGGTAAACTATGTTTGTCAAAATATCCTTAAGATTCAAAACAACTGCTTTTACTTAAACCTACCAACATTACGTTAAAACAACAAATTAGAATGTAAACAAAGTTTCAAGTAAATGCTGCATTAAAGCCACAAGGATTTTCCAATTTCCCTCAACCAAATAAAAAATAAAAAAAAAAAAAATCTTAGTCAGGTCTTGTTACTCTTTGCATGAAAAGAACCAAAAAAGAAAAAAAAGAACCTAAAATTTATATTTCCTATAAAAAAAATTTTAAAAAAAGTAAATTGATTCCAGAAATAAAACCACCAAACCTTGAAAAATGTACAGAAAGAGAGGGAGGTCACCTTGAACTAACAAAGACAGGGCAGCACTGAGAGAGGCATTTGGTCTCAACATTGCAAATGGCTGTCCATTTGATTCCCCAATTTTTGGAACCCATGTACCCAAAGGAAGTGAACCAATTGGTTGTTGAAGAATGGGCAACGAGCCAGAAGAATATCTAAAATGCCTGCAAATACCTGAAAAGTAGGTCACATGTTAGTAACAAATCATATGCCCTCAAACAGCACACCAGGAAAAAGCTTACATTTTAGAATTCCAGAGAGAGAAGCCAGATGTAGTAGCTGTGGAAATGAACCATCCTGGGAAGAAGAGTGGATAATGGGAACTGTAGCCACCTTGTTTTGTAAAATTTTTAAAGCAACATCCTTCAGAGAATCATAAGGCCCAGCCTGCACATTATTAGTCATAAATTGTAAATATTAAAACAGAAGTAGATCTAAGTTTAGAAGCAGGGGAAACTTGCTTCATACGAAACACAAGATTGTTGACAATAAGCAAAAGTTATCATTCAAATAAACATTTTTACAGAATCTCAAGGCCCAGCCTGCTCATTACAGAACTCATTGTTTATATCAAATAAAGCAGCAGCAAGAAGAAGAACCAGGAATAAATAAAATTCTTCACGAAATCAATGGCTAAAAAAATTACCCGAAACATTTGTTAGTCCAACAATAAGTACAACAAAGGCAATACCGAACAGGTTCACAATTACTTAAGGGCAGGTTATAACTAGTTTTTGTGGATAAGATGGTAGGGTATGAACTTTGAGAGTTTGTATGACAAATGGGTAGGTCTCAAAGACTTGACTAGTAAAGGGAAGGCACCGTTGTGGCCTTGTAAGGTTATTCTGGAGCCATTAACAGTCATGAAAATTAACTATGCTGATTTTGGGTTCTTTTTGTGTTTTAGGGTTGGATGAATGAGAGGACAGAAGTTTAGGATTTTAAAATAGGATTTGTGGGGTTGAGAACCAAAATGACAGATTAATAGTGTGAAAAATAAAGAGTAGAAGGTGAAGAGGAAAATTAGAACCTAGTAGTCTTACCTGGAGCCTTTGGGCTCTGCCTCACAAGATTTGAGCTTCATCACACAAAATACAGTCTCAAATGCTCCATTGGGGGATGTGGTCATAAGGTGCTTGATACTTGCCACATAAATTGGCATTCTTTATTGGTTGTTTGTAAATTGCATACGCAAGATAAAAGTGGATAGGGCTAAAAATAAACAGAATAGAAATAGGGTGATCCAAGAATTGCTAGGAACCATGAATGGTTGGTATTTCAGAAAATGGATAAACAAAAAAATATATAATGTTTTTTTTCCATTAAATGTCATTTTAAAGAAAAAAATAATAATAATAATTATAATGTTTTGTATTACCATGTTTCTGTTTTAATTTTTTAACCCATGAAGTTTGTGCCCCAAATATGTTGCATGCCTTCATCTTTCTGGAAGGAAAAAAGAAAAAAAGAAATGTGTTTCTTGTTTTCTCTTTTTTGAAAACAAAAACGCAACCAAACATCCACCAAACGCTTTGCACACTAACATGTGAGATAATATAGAATAAAATAAAAAATGAGCCAGGATCCTTGGCAATACATCCCATGTTATCATTACCCACAATCAATGTAACCATCCTTCCCTTATGCAAAAGATGATGAAGATTTTCACACAAATAAAAATAAACAATTTGAATGTTGCAGAAGGTTGGTATATTACTACAAGAATCACTTACATGTACAAGACGCCTTGAGCATGATCTGCCACTGCCATTGATTTGCCTGTTCAGATGTGATTTTCCCTCTTTCCAAGCTGATATAGTATGTGTCTCAAGCTCTTCCTCTGTCAAATTTGAACCATGATTCCCAAGCTGGGATTTAAAATATCAGACAGCATTAGTCCAAAGGCATCTAAATGTGCAAATGGACCAAAGGGAAAAGGTAGATGCAAAAGTACATGGGAACAAATAAATAGCACAAAACAAAAATAGTATGATGTTCAGTAAGATTGCAGCAAAAGTAGTTAGTTATCCCTTAAAATTGAAATGCCTTGCACCCAAAGAAACATACATGTTGCAACTCCAAAATATATGAAACTAAAAAACAGAAATTACTTGTCAAACCAATAACATAATTTTAGGGATCATATCCAGGGAAAAGCATGCACACTGATATTCTACACAAGAAAGGATATTCTACACAAGAAAGGAGCAGGTCCTACACAAAAATAGGCCATCATAAAATATTTCATCATAGCACCACAAGTAATATGGTGACCAAGCATGTAATTGAAACTTGAGCAATAGATGTACATCTTGAAAGGGAAAAATACAGCCAAGAAGACAATGGAAATATTCTGTACCATCCAAAGGTCTTTTTTTTTTTTGGAAAGAAAAAAAGATATAGTGCAAAAACACTGAATACAAAAATTTCTCAGTGCTTATCCATGAACGAGCACAAAGGAGCTTGAGACATATTTATCATTTAAGAACAATAATTTAACTTCCAACCAAGGAAACAAGATCCAAATGATGAAGTTCTACTACACAGTCATAACACTACCAGAGTTGCCATAGAAAGGAAAGCCAAACTGAAAATTTTTTTATCACAATACACACCTCTCTTAGAATTAAGATGAAGTCTAATGCACTAAGAACTCCAACAAACAGGCCCTTTCCAAAATCCCACAGAGGAGCAACAGGAATTCCCTGCAAATAGCTTCAATCAGATAAATGCAATCCAGCCTATTAATCAGAAATAATAACTATACCAAAAAATTGCACAAAAGAAAACATGGGGGAACATGAGGAACGGTGGCAGAATAGACAGCAAGACCAAGATAAAGTGCATAGGAACAAAGTACATCCCAGGAACTGCGAATAAAGGATAACAAATCAATAATGGACAGCATATTAATTCAATCTCTTTGCCAAGGACATAGCATGGTGGCAAAAGCACTGGCATTGCATCAAAAAGAAAGAGATGAATTAGGGTTTTTGATGCTTATCATTTGTTTGAAAAATAAATGGACTGTACATTAGTAATGCATGTGCAATACAATGGAAGAACTAGAAGCTATCCAGTACTCAAAATATGAAAGTTCTTCTGCAAATACATCTGGCTTTCATATCAATCCTCAGCAGTTTTTTTTTCTTTTTTGGATCAACAACAGCAACAGATTTTATTAAGGCACAAGGCCATAACGAGGCAAGGATAAGGCATCCTCTACAAAGAAATCCTCAGTAGATTTTAAACACACACACATATGACTAACCATTCTGTCTACACGCATGTGAGAAACCTTAGCTAACAATAGCAAAACCATGACCCAAGAAGGTTGAGATAACCTCTCCTGGTAACCTCAGAATGAGAGCACATGCACAAAATTACCTGCTCGTATAGAATATGGAATGCTTGCTTCACTGGTAAATTTACGTCCAAGGCAATGACCTGCAATGTTAGATGCAATTGAACCAAAAATCCATAAATCCAATCCAACAATAATGATCAATGAATTACTTAAAATTACAAAACAAAAGCCCATGATCAACCATACTAAGTTCCTAACCTTGCCAGATTCAGGAAGCAACTCATATGCAGTATGTGTTGACATGAAGACAGATACACGATTGCGAGAAATCTCAATATCAGCCTCTGATATCCTTGGAATTGCTTCCTGCAAATTATCATTTGATAGATAACCTACTATTTTATGCCATTGAATAACAATGACGGTATTCAAATCCCACGTTAGTCCACAACTATTGCTTCCGGAGAAACCATTAATGATTCATGTGTGCATAGTTTATGTTTCCCAATTAAAGCAGAAAGAAATAAAATATTTTTCATTAACATTGGAAATACTACATTCCAGAAAAACTTCAGCAGTGATATATATGAATACAACTTATTTTGTGATTTCTATGTAAAACTCATTATGCAAAATTCCCCACAAAATTGCACTATGTAATAATAAACTATAGTTTAAGTATTAAACCACAGATTCTTACCAGACGAAGAAATGGATCATGATCCACATCCATATTAGATATACCAGGTGTCTCTGGACTATACACAGCATGAATTACATCAGGTTCTCTAAGTAAGATGAGAGTGTTCACCACGCCATAATTTCCACTTACAAAAACTTCGTTCTCATCATGCCGCCACTCTCCATCAACAATAAACTTGTACTGCATACAAATGAAGACAACACATAAACATCAATATCAGAATTGGAGGTACTCATCTAGAACTGTTAATTCAGATGAACCCAACTCTTGGACTAAAGGCAGCAAATTTTCTGCTCAATTTAGCAATCTTGCACAATAAATCTGATATCCAAACATTCGTGCACATTCTATTATGTACTACTTTGCAAGAATTATATAAGTGTCAAACTGCATGCACTACTGTGCAAGTGTGAGATGCATGATTAATTTCTTCATCCTCTAATCTTCATCCAGCACAAAAATATTGTTGTCTTGATGAGGTTTATATATAAACAAAAACATCTCATTGTGGTTCCCAATCATAATTGATATGAATAATAACAACAAAGTTAGAGTTTTTGAATTTAGATAATAACTCAATCATCTTTATGTCAATACCTTTGGAGAAACCAACTTCGTAAATCATGATAATCTAGTTAGTAACTTTCAAGCGGTGTTCATAAATTCTAAATAATCGAATCTCAATAACTTGGAGGGCTTATTTCAGAAGGATTACGTTGTTTCTATGCTAAATTATTATATATTTACCTGCTTTACTGTCCTGGTCAAATCCTATAGATACCCTGCTCTAATGGTGTTAGCACTACCAAATTAGCATTGAACTTCATGTGTAATAGAGGCTCCCCATTAATTCAATATAGATGCATTTGGAATAAGATTCCCTCTCCCATAATATGCATCTCTATATAAATTCTTCAAGGATGTCATTCCAAAGGACTTGGAGTTTAGGAAATGTAACTATTTCTTTAGCATCTCAGTGTTGCTGAAGAAAGGAATATATGAAATCCATTAACAGATTGGTTGGTCAAGCAGCTTCTGAGGTATGGACTTCTTTTAGTGACATATTTGGCATTCATTTAAGCCACATTGTAGTATTGCCAATACAATTTGTGACAACAGACCTACCCCTATCAATTTAAAACTGTAAAATGAGTATTCTCTCAGCTGCCTTCATTTTTCTGTTGAGCAAAACCTATCCAGTTGCGCTTTGCAGTTTAAACCATTATGAACCAGTGATGTCTCAGACTCTAAGAATGCATAACACTATAACACTAGGCCATCTCTGCCTAAAGTAACATTAATGTCTTTGCTTCCGCACCAAACTTCATGAGATTGCAGGCAAATGGCACTAGTAGGGTTAACCAGATGTTGGAGGGTGGATAAAATTCTTCAAGATAATTAAGGTAAATTTATTTGACTGTATTTTTGCTAGGAGAAAGCTCCAGTATTTTAGCTAAATTTATGTGAATTTATTAGGGCTTAAAACGAGAACTCAAGCCTTATTATTGTAACATAATTGTCTCAATTCAAATTGTAAGAGTGTTAAATATTCCTATTGAAAAGGTAGAGCCTCCTTGGTGCATTCTTTATCTCTACAAAGAACTTGAAGCATTCCCTTCCCATGCTAAAACGACCTTCCAAGACTTGTTTCACTAGGCTGTATTATACAAAAAGAAGTGCAGATTTTTTTATTTTTTTGTGTGATAAGTAAACTTTATTGAAAGATGCCGAAGGCTAAGGGGTCGTCACCCATGTACGTTAGAAGTATTAATTATTAAATTAGAAAATATGTTTACGTGATTATACACTACAAAACAATTCTTAGCAATTACAAGTTATGCATGACAAAGAGTTTAAGAGATTTCTTATGCTTAGATCACATATAATGTTTTTTTCACTAAATATCCATCACCCCTAAAAACATGAGCAGGGACCCAAAAATAAACATATGCGTGGAAAATTAGAATTGTACTTCTCTACCAACAAAAAACATGCAAGAGACTGCTATTTATCTGGTTTATGATAAAAATTATTTAGTTGTAAACCCTTTAAGCATAAAAAGATGCTAGAAACTCAAGGATCTATTTAATTGTATCAATCATTCATTCAAATTTAAAGAAAAATATGCTAGAAACTCATCGTACCTGGTTGACCGACTCGCAAACATATATATGATTATGATGATATTAGCCATAAATCCGTTTTTATATAAGATTAATTTAATAGCCCTCAATGCTAGACGAATTCCAACTGCGGTTGGCACAGAATAAATATTATTATAGCATATTAACCTGATGATATCCCGGAGTTAAGCTGCAGATAACCTGAAACACAGTTGGGCTGCCCTCCATTGGAGACATTGGTATGTGTTCTGTCCATCTGTGCAATTAAGAAATTCAATTAAAACCCATTTCACATAACCAAAATCAATGATAACTAACAAAATGCTACTAGAAAGATGAACATAACTAATCAAATACTTTCATAACTAAAAACTAAAAAGATCTCATCATGACACCAATATTATCACTCACCTAGTGAAGGAGCCACTAAGAAATACCCTTCTGCCCCCATACCGCCACACAAATTGCTTTGGTACCAATACAGGTCCCAAGACCCCGCTCTTATCAGGCCCAATATCCACACCAGAGCCAAACATGACCCCCAAAACTTATGTCAAATCCACAAACCCAATAAGCTAAATTGAAATTACAACAAAATCACTGAAACCCCAACAATTGAACAACTCTTCTACTTCACCTTAATAAATTAACCAATAAACGGAGCAGCATTGTATCTCTCAATTGACAAAAGAAAACCACAATTTAATAAAAACCGCGATTTTGGGATCCTCCACTAGCAGAGGACCCCTTACGAATTAGACATACAGAGCCACCAAATCAAAACCCACACACACCAAATTCCCAAATATTCAACAACCAAACTGTTCGTCACACCCAAACCACAATCTCCAAAAGGGGCACAAAAAAAAGACTATGAAATAACCAACAACAACTTCAACAATCCTCCTATTCTACAATAAAACTCCACTGAAACACCCTTCAATCCTTCTAAACCGTTAATCTCAACCAAAAGCTTCAGGAAATCGTGTAGTCCTCAAAATCCAACCAAAAAATACGCAATTATTGTCAAAAGTGTGCGAATCCAAACCAAACCCAATATTTCTCACCCAAATCTAATCCAAAAAAACCCTCAATTACGAATCTTTATGCGAAAACCAAACAAAATCAAGTAAATTGAAATGAATCGAAAAGCGCCTAGAGACAGTACAAATCCCTAATTTTGAGAAAATTGAGATGTTGTCGACATTGTTGAATCTTCTAACCCTTGCAATCTCGAGAGTGTAGAGAAGAATCAGAGAGAGAGAGAGAGAGAGAGAGAGAGCAAAACGAGACGAATAATTATTAATAATTGGGGTGAATAAAATTACAACATAATACATGTACATGTATAGATGTGTGTATTTTATGAATTTTTTAATATTTTTTTTTTCAGAAAGAGAAAGGAATTACATCAACGGCTGTGGAGGGGTTAAGATCGTGGGACCATTGGATGCATGTGAACTGGGACAGTTGGGGTCCATGATGACTTAATGTATGTACAATGTATGTATACATCTCTCCTTGTTATACATACGCACACTCTATGCTATGTTTGGCAGGATGAAATCATAGCGCTGAAGAATTTCACAGGATGAGAAACATACATATATATATATATATATGTGAGATAAATAGTAAATATATATGTGAGATAAATAGTAACATAAAGCCTGTATGTGAGACTCGCCATTTGTCTCACATTTGTGACAAATTTTGTAAAATTTCTCTATGAATTTAGGGAGCATTTGTTTGATGGGATTGAGACACAGAATTGGACTATGGGGTTAGGGGTGTGTATAATTCTGTCGAAATCGTTAAAATTGTACTGAATCGCACCGCCAAGGTAAATTCGTTATTATTTGTGAATCGAGCTGTCAGTTTTTGGTAAGAAAAATGACAAATTCTAGTGACACTTTTATCAATCCGTCGATTTCTATTTTTCTTCCAAACTGCACCGACCCGCATCGCTATTAAATCATATTTTATAAGATTCTAAAAATTCTTTTTTACTTAACTTTGCTTGTTGTTCTATGCCTTAGAATATAGTATTACATTACTGTTGGAGGAAAATTCAAGATGTCAGTAATCCAAAATAAAGTTGGATTCCAATTCACTTTTCAATTTATTTTTTTTCTAACAATGTTGCAAATTTGCATCAGCTCACTTTTCAATCTAAATACTTTTTAACAGTAAACATTTTTAATATATTGTAAACCCTGAATGATATTAATTTTATGTATTGTATTTGATCATTGTAGCTTCCACAAATGCTTGTAATGAACTGATGACATAGTCGTTGATATTATCATGTTGTTGCTACACTTGCTGCATCAAAAGAAAGCTTCGCAAGATGCTTAACATCACGGTATCTCTCATCTTTTTTTTACTCTTTAATTTAAGTTTTGTAATTTGAATTATATTTTTTATAAACCGTCAATCCGCCGATTTTTGATAAGAAAAATGGTAAATTCTAGTGACACTTTTATCAATCCGCCACCCGTCATACGGTTTCTATTTTTCTTTCAAATCGCACCGACCCGCACCGCGCACACCCCTATCTGGGGTTATTTGAAAACATCATAAATAAAGTTAAAATTCAACATTTAACTCATTTTGAATCACATCAAATCACATCTCACGTAAAAAAGTAAAAAAAAAAGTTTAAAAAGTTAAAAAATTAACTTTTATTTTAATCATTTTTTCAAAATATCCCTCTCTGTTTAATTGATTTACTAGTCCATCGTTTGGTTAGAAAAGTGAAATTGGAGTAACAATAAAAAAAACATACATCTTTTCAACCAAATAATTTATGAATTATTTATTTCATGACTAATAGTGCATTATATTATAATCTTTCATTATCCAGTCTATCCAAACAAATATTTCTTTAGATTTTTTTTAGAGTTCGTTTGGAAAGTTTTTTTTAATGATTTTTTGTCTAAAATATAAAGTAAAAAAAATTAATATGTTTGAAAATATTTTTTTGACATTTTTTTTTTAAAAATGTATAAAATAAAGTGAATGGAAATAAATATTTGACTTTTTGTATAAGTTCAAAATTTATTGTTTTTTTTTTAACTAGAATATATTGCCAAATGACTTCTTGTGATGACAATCACTATGTTCGTTTTCAATTTTTTGAAAACACTTTTCTGAAAATTCTATTTTTTTGTTCTTCATATTTTTTTTTATTTTTATTGAATTTTTTTAATATTTTAAGTAATTTTCAAAATTTTTAGACACATCTAACATAAATATACTTAAAAAATATAATTTTCCTGAAAAAATCTTTAAAAAATTCACTAATTACCAAAAATATAAAAAATATATAAACATTCAGTATATTTTTCATATTCTGTGTATTTATTAATTTTTTAAAATATTTTATTTTTTAGATATATCTAAGTAAGGTGTATCTAAAAAATTAAAAAAAAAAACTTAAAATTTAAAATTTAAAAAATATTCATTAAAAACAAAAAACTCAATTTTCAGAAAACTGAAACCAAATACACTTAATATTTTTGTATTATAAAAGATTTATTATCTTAAACCTTTTAAATTAATACAAAAATGATAAATATTTTATAATATATAAATATATTCATTATAATATTATCCTAATTTAGTGATTGAACTAGTTGTGCTAGGATTAATGATCAAATTTTAAAGTGTTTGGCTTCATAATATTAATGATTGGGGTTCCCACTATTCCTTTCCCCCTCCAATGAGCACATTTTTTGCGATTCCAAAATGGAATTCAAACAAAAGACATGATTAATGTTTGTTTTTAATGAGCAGTTTGTTTTTAGAATTAGGTTATGTAAGATTATTACTGTAAAAATTATTAGCGAGAGGATTTAAAAAAAAAGCCATTGGATTTAAATATATATATATATATATATATATTTGATGATTATCGAATTAGTAATAATTCATAGTTATTTTGCTATTGATACGATGGCTTGTTAACTATGGCCTGCTTTGGCAAGCTAGCTAAAAGCTAGCCTTTAGTTTTTTTAGTCAAAAAAAAAACTAATTTTTTTATCCAAGTTAGCTTTTTTGGTTAAAAAAATCAAAAATTAATTTTTATCAACTTCTCAAAACATTACTATATGAAATTTTATAAATACTCTTGGTGTTTTTGATACATTTTAATATTAAAAGTTACTTTATAAACATATATTTTTTTGTACTATATTATTTTAATATATGATTTTTTTGGTATAAACATATTATCATACTATATTATTTTAGTATATTATTTTTGATTTTTTTTCTCCTTTTATTTCATAGAAGGAGACTTCCTAATTACAATACGTTGAAATGAAAATGGGACTTCTGTTTAAAACAAAAGCATATTTACGGATATTTTGAGAAGATAGTTAAAAATTAATTTTGATTTTTTGATTTTTTTGACTTTAAAAAAAAAAAAGTGGAGCAAATTATATTTACAGTCTCTATAGTTTGGGTCTTGTGTTACTTTGATCGCTAACTTTTCAATTATGATATATTTGACCCCGAATTTTGAGTCTTATTTCAAATAAGGACAATTGAAGATCACATTGCTCAATTTCATGAGCAAAGTCGTTAAGTTGACACTACAAAAATTTCAGCTTTTTGCGACGGTATACTCTTAATGCCGTCGCAAAAAACTTTTTGCGACGGTAAATGACTTTTTGCGACGGCAAGAGGGGGGTCGCAACTGGGGGCGTTGCAAAAGATTTTTTGCGACGGCACAATGCCACCGCTAATGTTTTGCGATGGCATTTTAGCCTTTTGCGACGGTACTTTACAGTCACTAATAACGTTTGAAATTTCTTGACTTTTTTGCGACGGCACTATTTTACCATCGCTAAAAATGTTATTTGAGACGGCAAAAAATACCGTCACTAATAGTCTTTTTTTTGCAACGGCAAGAACACTGTTTTTGCGACGGTGTGGTGCCGTCGCAAAAAGTATTAAAAATATGAAAATTTCTATTTTTTGCGACAGTGTACTACCGTCGCAAAAAGTATTAAAAAAATAATAAAATTTCTATCTAAATAATAAAATTTTTATTTTTTGCGACAGTTTAGTGCCGTCGCAAAAAGTAAAACTTGTAACAAAATCAATAAAAATATTAGAATTTTCTGTTTTTTGCGACGATGTAATGCCGTCGCAAAAAAGAAAAAAACATCTTGCGATAAAATTATTAAAAATATTAAAATTTCTCCATAATATAAAACATTCTGTATAAAAATAACAATTTCTCCATAACAAATATTCTTCCATTCATAAACACATTAACAAAATTATCACACTACATAATGTTCCATAATACATATATAATGTTTAAATACATGATTTTGTTCATAATTCAAAATAACATAAACCAAAATTAAATATTTTTCTCATCATTCTTCGTAGATAACAAAAACAAAAGTTAGTCACGTTCTTCACAGGCATGCATTCCACAAGCACTCTCCTACATGGGAAATATCTGAAAAATAAAAATAATTAATGACAATATAATTATGTGTTAATATTTGACTGAAATTATTGTGTAAAAAATTTATGACACTTGCTACACTACCAAACAAATACATGCATTAAAAAAAATTCAAGATCAAAATAAACAAAATAATAATTTGTAAATAAAATTTTCAAGACATTTACAAGACAAAAAGTATCAAAAAAAGATTTAAATATAATAAAAAATATGATATAAGCACTTTTTCCACATTGATCACTGTTACATTGAGTCGTGATTAACATCAATTATATCCATAACCGAAGATCATTTTGATTGCAATCAAAACCACCATAATGAATTGTAATGCACATCACTTTGAAACAAAATTAAACATCATAATAGGATGTAACTATTTATTATTTATAACTAACATTAATTTACAGTAAAACTTAAATATGGTATATATAATGTGTATTATAACATGACTTTAGCTAAAGGCTTCAAACAAATTGAAACTTAGTGTGGGAAAATGTTAGGCCTTGGGGGGGACATTTACAAACAAATATAGTATATAAATTAATATTTTTGAAATAGATGCAGGGGCCATGGGGTCCCCATGGCCACCCCCTACATCTGTCATGCCTTTGTATCTAACGTTAAGAAAATTGAATGAGAAATCCATTTATGTATAATAAGAGGCTCAATAAGCACTTACGAAAGAAATGTCAAATTAAACATCCCTCTAAGACACCAAAAGAGCCCCGAAAAAAACATTTAAAAAAAATGCATAAGTAATAATTAGAGTAGGCAGGGAAAAAAGACTTTGAAATTGCAATAAAGCACCAATGCATAAGTTCAAATTAC